CAGTGGTAAGAAATATTTCGTCTCTTTCATTGATGATTTTTCAAGAAAGACGGGTTTATTTTTTGAAGGAGAAGTTAGAAGTGTTTGAAACCTTCAAGAAATTCAAAGTGATGGTGGAGAAAGAGACAAGTAAATTCATCAAAGCAGTCCGATCTGACAGAGGAGGCGAGTTCACTTCTGTTGAGTTCAACAAATACTGCGAGGAACATGGGATCAAGCGTTTCTTGACTGCCCCATATTCTCCGCAGCAAAATGGTGTAGCGGAACGAAAGAATCGAACTATTCTTGATATGGTTCGATCTATGTTGAAGGGGAAGAACATGCCGAAGAAGTTTTGGACAGAGGCGGTGCAGTGTGCAGTCTATGTGCAAAATAGATGTCCACATGCAAAGCTAGGAGAAAAGACGCCTCAGGAGATCTGGAGTGGCATGAAGCCGAGTGTTTCTCATCTTAGGGTGTTCGGTAGCTTGGCCTATGGGCAAGTACCAAGACAACACAGGACAAAATTAGAAGATCGGAGCAAGAAGTACATATTTATTGGATATGATGAAAAATCCAAAGCATACAAGTTGTTTGATCCTGATAACAAAAAAGTGGTTGTGAGCCGAGATGTTCACGTGGAGGAAACAAAGCAATGGTGTTGGAATAACTCGGCCGAAGTAGAAACTAGCTCGGACATTGTTGTACCTTCAACAACAACTACCACCGAGTTCTCAGATGAAGAATCCGAGCCACAACAGCCCAGGATGAGAAGTCTGCAGGAAATATACGACACTACAAATGAAGTTCATGTTGTATGTCTTCTCGCCGACTCTGAAGACTTGAGTTTTGAGAAAGCTGTCCAAGATGAGAAGTGGAGAACAGCTATGGATGAGGAGTTTGGGGCGATTGAGCGTAATAAAACTTGGGAACTGACCAACCTTCCTGAAGGAGCTCGACCCATTGGAGTAAAATGGGTGTACAAAAAGAAGATGAATGCTGAGGGAGAGGTTGAGCGTTATAAAGCTCGGCTTGTTGTGAAGGGCTATAAACAAAAGGAAGGAATTGACTATGATGAAGTTTTTGCTCCTGTCACGAGAATGGAGTCAATCCGACTTCTGATCTCGTTAGCTGCTCAGAGACAATGGCAAATTCTACAGATGGATGTGAAGTCGGCCTTTCTAAATGGAGTGCTGAAGGAGGAGGTGTATGTCGAGCAACCACTCGGGTACATGAAGAGAGGAGATGAAAAGAAGGTGCTGAGATTGAGAAAAGCCCTCTACGGGCTGAAGCAAGCTCCTCGTGCTTGGAATGAAAGAATTGATGGGTATTTCAAGAAAAACGGGTATGAGCAATGTCCGTACGAGCATGCCTTGTACATAAAGAAATCAGGAAAAGATATGATGGTAGTTGCTCTCTATGTCGACGACCTCATATTCACTGGAAGCAATGCAAAACTGATTAAGGAGTTCAAGGAGATAATGATGAAAGAGTTCGAGATGACAGACTTAGGCCTGATGAAATATTTTCTTGGCCTAGAAGTGAAGCAATCGAATGAAGGGATTTTTATATCCCAAGAAAGGTATGCGCTTGAAATCCTAAAGAAGTTTAAAATGGAGGATTGCAACCCAGTTTCTACTCCAATGGAACCAGGCACGAAACTCTCAAAATTTGATGGAGGAGAACGAGCTGATTCTGGGAGATATCGTAGCTTAGTCGGAAGTCTCAGATACCTTACATGCACGAGACCCGACTTAATGTTGAGTGTTGGGATGACAAGCAGATTCATGGAGGATCCAAGCTACACACATTGGAAAGCCTTGAAGAGAATTCTGAGATATGTTCAGGGAAGCCTATCACTTGGTATTTTCTATTCAAAATCAGATGACTACCGATTAGTAGGTTACTCGGATAGTGATTGGTGCGGAGATGTTGATGATCGAAAGAGTACTTCGGGTTATGTATTCCTACTCGGGAATACGGCCTTTACTTGGCTGTCAAAGAAGCAGCCCATTGTAACTTTGTCGACCTGCGAGGCCGAGTACGTGGCGGCTTCTTGGAGCGTTTGTCATGCAGTTTGGCTTTTAAATTTACTGAGGCATATGGGAGTGATCCGAGATGAAGGGGTTGTGATCCGAGTTGATAACAAGTCAGCAATCGAGTTGGCAAAGAACCCGGTTAATCACGGAAGGAGCAAGCACATCGACGTCCGATTTCATTTCATCCAAGAACAGATCAGAGAAGGAAAGGTCGAGTTAGAGCATGTTAGAAGCTGAGTTCAAGCTGGGGACATATTCACCAAGCCACTGCCAACTACACTACTAGAGAATTGTAAAAGGCTGATTGGAATGAGAGATGGGAAAAGAATTTAAGTTTAAGGGGGAGATTTGTTATGAAACTTAAATTAGGAGTTTTATTTTGCTTAAATAATATTAATGGTGTTAATTATGAGTGACATTTAAAGATGCAAACGTTAGTTTTTTCTTTTTACTATAAATAAGTGTAGCATTTTATTTGCAATATGAATGAGAATACAGAGAGTTTATTTGCTTCCAATTTATGCCTTTTATTCTTAACAGGTGGTAGCGCTACTCATCCTATTGCTGGTGGGGATGGTGGTAGCGCTACTCATCCGAGCATTTTGCAAGGCTCTAATACCACCTCCGCCGCCACATGTGTCTCTGCCAGAGCAGGTGGTGTACCACGAAGAGGGGTCGGTGTAGCCTCTTCCTCTTCCCCGTTCGACATCTTTCATGCTTTAGATGCTTAGATTAACCATGTATGTTATATTTCTTGTTTTTATTAATATATCAAAATCCTACGTGATTCAATGTTGGTTTTTTTTATTATTGATTCCGACGAAGAGAAAATAAAAACACAAAGAAAATGGCACCAATATTGAGTCAATTTTGATATATTAATAAAAACAAGAAATATAACATACATGGTTAATCTAAGCATGACGAACGGGGAAGAGGAAGAGGCTACATCGACCCCTCTTCGTGGTACACCACCTGCTCTGGCAGAGACACATGTATATTAAATTTCTTATTATTATTTAATGTAAAATGTAAAAATTACAATATCCATACATGATACATGTATATTATATTGCTATTAAACAGTTTATTATATGTATATAGAGAAGTTCGCGATCCGGTTTAATTTGATTCTGCAAACCAAATTGATGTGAGAGTATATTTTTGGAGTCAATGCTTTCAGAAAGTGGATGTCCTACTATTGCCCTTCTTATTCTCCTACGTCTTTAAGATATTCAGAAGTTCGTTCTGAAGCTGTTAATTATGAAGAAAAAGAACATGATTCATGCTATAAAATATTTCATTGAAAGAATAAAAAAGACAAGAAAAGGAGACACAAGTAAAGTTAATGAGGACTAGATGAAACAAAGAATTCCCAATTGATTGAACTGTCAGCGTTTAAAATGTTGTAATAGATGAGATAACAAATTCAACTCGAACTGTTGAAGTTGTGGCCGATAACCGATTATTTGTGCAGACCGCAGATTCTGCAGATCACTCATGCTTCAGTTTGTTTATTTTTTATCTTATAATAATGATAACTACACAATTATTTTTTTTAAGTAGATAATAACTCAATAATTTCACTTAATTAATTTAAATAAAAATTAGTATTTTTCAAAAATAAATTACAATCTATGTGACTTCAACATCCCACGACACTAATGAGAAACCATAATGGTGTCTATGATTAGGGAGGCATGCACGTCTACCACTACGGGGCAAATACCCCCACTAAATCTTCTTATCAATTTTCATATACATATTTTAATAAAATATCTTAATTAACTTATCATTTAAAAAAAAAGTTAAGTGTGTCTATTATTCTCTTGATGTTTTATTATGTAAAAATAAATAAATTAAAGACAATAAATTAATATTTTGAAGTATTTTTAAAGTATATATACTATTAATAAAAAGAATATTTCTTCTTAGTGCATATAAATTTTAAATTAATTTATTCTTATAATAATTTTTAAATAACTTTCTTTCATTATCTTTTATTTATCTATTCTCTATTTTTCTATTTTAACAACATTTAATTTCTAGATATCTTATCCTTTAATTTAAACAGCTATAATTATCTTTTTATTTTTAAATAGAAATACTTTGTACCTCTTTTTCTCCTAATATATTTATGTAATATTAATTATAGTTATTAAGTCAGTAAAAAAGAAATGGTTGACCAACTAGACTTACATTATACTATTTTTAAAAGAAAAAAAAAGTTTAAAATTTTGATACAAAAGATAAATGATTAACTAATTATTTAATTATTTACATGGATATTTTGAAAATTTTGAAAATAAAAGAATCATTCGATATTTTGGAAATGGGACTTTTTAGAGAATAATTATAATATATATTTATATTTTAAAAGAATATTTTTTTACAAAATTTAAAAAATAAAAAAATGTTAAGTTATATATTTAATATTACGAGTCGATATTTAAGTATCACCCCACTATTTAAAATTTTTGAATTCGTCATTGTAAAGAAATATTTATCTCTAGCAACATATATAGTTATGTATTCTATAAAAATATTTATTCCTTTCAAAATTGAAGAGATAAATATGTCATCTAATTTTTAAATGTGCGTCGCTTTCTTTTTCTCTCTCTTCTTTCTTAAAATCTTGTCAAATGTGGGAAGAGATTATTTTTAGTATCCTTCCCACATTCTCACTAAATTATTTTCGTTTCTCTCACCTCTCTTTTCCACATAAATAAAACCATTTTCTCTCTCACTTTATAAATAAAACATGCTTCTCAGTGGTGTGCCTAACTTTATTTGTAATATCTTTAGAGCAAATTTAAGATCAAAATGAATAGCTTTGTGCAATATACTAGCACAAAATAGAGGACAAGCAAAGAAATTATTCTCATTATCTAAATAATGGTGATAGTATCATTTATTTTTATCCATAAAAAGGATTTGTTTATATATTCCATACAAGTTACAATTGAAACTTAATTAATTTCCACAATTTCCACCGGGTCCTCCAAATTGAAGAGAATATCCAACTTCTCGTTTTTGATCTCCGTAGTATTCAACACCAAAACAGTTAGGGTTATCATTATATGTGTTTACAGTATATTTTGGGGGTCCGTAATATTGTCTTGATGTATTTTGAAACCCAACATGCCTAAAATAACATGCATGAACAAAGTTATCATCGGGAAAATATCCAGATCCCATTTGGGGACTAGGACTACCAGGAGGAGTTCTTGTTGATCCACCCCACCCCACTATATTAGCTGAAAACATAGTGGTAAACAATTTTGCTGGAAAATATCCAATATTTTCATTTCCCATCCTTAACCACCAATCTTTTGTCCGTTGTTCCTGAAAATACATATATATTATGTAATTTTTTAGTATGAATATTTAATATACTGCGTGGTTGGAAAAAGAAAATAATGTTAATCTCATAGAGTGAAAGTTTTATGGCACAAACATGACCTGATAAATAGCAAGGTTATACTCAACCATTGTTCCCCCATATATAGATGTATCGGTCACAAGTGCACCAAGATAGTATCCTTTGTGAATTTGAACAAAACCTGGACATAATATATTGAAGCATCCTCCGTTCTTGAGTTTATTTGACAGTGTCATTTTTTAAACATCACATTAAATTTTGAAGAAATAAAACATGTTTTTAAGTTAAACTAGAATTCAAAGAAAATTGAAAATATTAGATATTTATATAAACAAACAAAAATATCATGTGTTTCATCTTTATAAGCTAAGTAAAGATGAAACATATGTAAAATAATATATATATTTTCTTACCCATCTTGCGTAAACATAAGTTCCTTCATCACCACCATATAATTGTGGATCCACCTAATATTAATGCATGGGGTTAATTAGGTACTATATTTTGTATAGTTAATTTGCTCAAAATAAATAATTAACATATGCATATATAATATATTTTTCTCAAAAAATGATAATTGCATCAATTGAAACTCACTTGCCATCCAAACGTGATTTTATTAACAGCGTGTATCGGTCCATTTTGAACCCATAAATGAGAAGCAGAGATTTGATCCTTTCTTTGAACTTTTGGATTATAAACGCTATTTTGTCCACTAACTCCATAATAAGGACCAGCCAATGGTGTAAGAGATGCCTGTGCATACTGCAAACCACAATAAATTTAAATAACTATTCAAATTACAACATTAGACGTGATGCGATTTATAGAAATTAATTGACAACATCTGAAATATGATTATATAAGAGAAAACTTACATGATAACCAGGATCCTCTTTAGTCATGACATGATTTTTAAATAATAATTTGTTTCTAATGAGATCATCTTTAGTCAAAACAATCAATGTTCTGTCAAATGATCATATGCATTAAATGCAGGATGAGAGTAGGTTTTCATCGAAGAAATATAGTCATTCACTAGTTAAGCGAGTCGACGAAAGATCGGAAAATGGTTCTCGATAGGAATTCAAATCTCTCATCGCAATGCTTACTAGATTGAATTCCTAGGGGGCATCTGTTATGCCTACTCGAAAACTACAGGAGTCGAAATCCATATGCATGATACTACTCGAAAATAAGGTAAATAATCAAACACCTACTAGGAACATGGTACAGGTCTTATTCGATCATACTCGAAATTGAAGGTAAATAGTTCAAGTAGAACATTGATGGGATCGAAAAATAGAGAAGTTATTGGAGGTTTCTTGTGGTTGCATCAAGGTAGTTATTAAACTGCAAGATCAAAAAATAAGATACGTGGGAAGAACGGTTACAAGAAGTTACGTCCCAAATCCACGTAACAAGCATAGTGGATAGCGGTTATTCCCTATAATAATACATGCATGAAGTTAACTACCCTTGAATGGTGCTATAAATATAAGAAAGGTAGTTATTTACATGGGTCGGAAAAACTCATACTAGAACTAGACTCTCAAGCACTCTCCGTCTGCGCATATGGCTTTCGTGCAAGGAATTGTTTTTGGGTATGACTATTTTTCGACCATTTTCCTTTTCTCTATTTAGGAGTAGAATTAGTGTAGTTTCTTAATTCTCCTTTTAATCACGTAGTAGAATTGTATACTTTGATCAATGTACTTTAACATATAATGTAATTTGATCACTATGCGAAGTGAACCATGATTTATATCGTTAATATGCTTGTTGTTCATTCTGTGCATTTGAGTATTCACATACATGAACATCATTGCTTGATAATAATTAATGAATATTTAGAGACAAGCAATCATTAAAACTTTCTACTTTGTCTCTCTTCTTGTATTACATTTCATAATTTCATGAAAATATTAAATACCTAAATTGAAACATTTCCTGTGCTAGTTCGAGTAAAAAAAATCCATAAAACTATTTCTACCGTAAACAACTCCCTTTAATAGCTAAAATGTTTTTAACTTTCTTTGTCTCTCTTTGATTATATTTCCTCGTAAATTCAACCCTTTTTTCTAATTATAGAAAAAACCTTTCCATCAAAAATCAAGAAGAAAAACAAATGTGACGAGTTCACAGACTAGATCAATATTTGGGCTTCATAAGGTCCAGTGTCCAACAGGAGCCGTTCCTATTCGAAGAATAACGAAAGATGATCTCATTAGAAACAAATTATTATTAAAAAATCATGTCATGACTAAAGAGGCTCCTGGTTATCATGTAAGTTTTCTCTTATATAATCAAATTTCAGATGTTGTAATTAATTTCTATAAATCGCTCACGTCTAATGTTTTAATTTGAATAGTTATTTAAATTTATTGTGCTTTAATTTGCAGTATGCACAAGCATCTGTTACACCATTGGCTGATCCTTATTATGAAGTTAGTGGACAAAATAGCATTTATAATCCAAGTGTTCAAAGAAAGGATCAAATCTCTGCTTCTCATTTATGGGTTCAAAATGGACCGATACACGCTGTTAATAAAATCACGTTTGGATGGCATGTGAGTTTCAATTGAGCGATTTATAGAAATTAATTACAACATCTGAAATTTGATTATATAAGAGAAAACTTACATGATAACCAGGAGCCTCTTTAGTCATGACATGATTTTTTAATAATAATTTGTTTCTAATGAGATCATCTTTCGTTATTCTTCGAATAGGAACGGCTCCTGTTGGACACTGGACCTTATGAAGCCCAAATATGGATCTAGTCTGTGAACTCGTCACATTTGTTTTTCTTCTTGATTTTTGATGGAAAGGTTTTTTCTATAATTAAAAAAAATGTTGAATTTATGAGGAAATATAATCAAAGAGAGATAAAGAAAGTTAAAAACATTTTAGCTATTAAAGGGGGTCTATACCTGTAACTTGTGGTTCTTTAACAAAGGATAATCAAATGTTGGTTGCTTGTTAATATCAATGCAATCAACAATGTATCCGAACTTGGTCTATAGAATCCAGAATACAATATATATAATTAACCAATTTAATGAGATCAAGTTGAACAAAAAAAAGAAGCATAGAATGAAATTTAAAAAGGCTATGGATGGGAGTACATGAATACTCTTGACTGGTGGCTTGTTTAGGAGCTTTAATTGTCTTTCCAGCTCTTGATCTTCTTTATGTGTATTTTGAATACCATGAACTAAATGGCTAGCCCCGGTAGCCACCAAACACAAGACAAAAAATAATGTATTCATCATTTTTTCCGAATTTCACTGATAAATGAAATGATTGGATCGATGATGATAACCTTTTCGGACTACTTGCTTTTATACCATTTTATTGCAAGAGAATTGATGTCATACTAAAGGTTTAATGAGGGAAAATGCATCAACGTTATTATTTTTAACTCCTAAAAGTCAATGGTAATTATGATTAATTAATATATATTCGACTTTAAATTAATCGTAATAATTAATATATTATTAAAAAATTGTAGAATTAGAAAATAATAAATGAAATGGATTTTCTTTTCAAACTTTTGTTATTCTTAGAGTCAAAAAGACATAAATTAAATATAAAAAAATATGGAAACGAACAATACACCATTTTTTACTGCTATCCATTCCCTTATTTGTGTCTTTTATATGACAATTTGATTTGCAAGAAATATTTGATATCGAAAAGTACAATGAAGGAATTAAAAGATACCAAAAGAACAATACACAATCCTTTATTGTTATTTAAAGCTCGTTGTTTTATGTAATTTGTGACGTCAAATATGTTTTAAATGGAGAAAAAAAATATTCCCTCCACTCAATTTTGTCTGATATTAAATTTTGATTAAAAACTAAAGAAATATAATTAACAAGTTTAATTTTATAAAATAAATTATATAATTTTCCGGTATACCTTAAACCTTTTGATTTCTTACCATAATTAAATAATGTGATAATAATTATCAAAAATATAATAGTTTAAAATAATACTTAATGTTACATTCATCAATCAAATTAAAATAGATGAAAATTACTAAAACTTTAAATAAAATAAAACGCATGGATTGAGACTGAGAGAGTGCAATAACCGCTCCTAAGAACTTAGGTTACTAGAAGATATATATGGCAGATATGCTTTGAATGGAGTGAAAAAATAACAGAGAAAGAGTTAGAGAAAGCAATATTACTACTCCTAATAAATGTTATGATACTAAAACATAGCTAGCTGTAATAAATAATCATCAATGGTTCTTTGTTGCCTTCATAGGTTAGAAGGATGCAACTTTATAATATAACTAGTATGTTTACCTGCGGTATTTGTTTAATATACATTTTATACAATAATAAATGTATTAAAAATAAATTATTTTTATTAGTTTTATTTTTAAAGTATATTTTATTTTTATTTTAAAATTATTATTATCTTTATTTTATAAGAATAGAAAAACTTAATTATATAACATTTATAAATTAATGTATATAATAATGTAATATATTTTTGACTCTTGTTAATAATAAATTTTTTTCTATATTAAACCTTTGATGACATAAAATTGGTTTGTATATATATTTTTAAAATTTTATTAATTCTTATATCGTAATATGTAATATCAATTTTATGCTTTATATTTTAACATTAAACTTTAAAATGATGAAAATACTATTTTGATACTTAAAAAATAACATTATATTTATTAAAAAAGATGAATACTAATAATAATATCAAAAGATATAACATGAGAAAAAGTAATATATATATAGAGAGAGAACGACGGATCTAAAAATCTTAAATAGTGGGGGTAATATTTAAAAACTATTGCTACGGTGCCAGTTTATTTGAGAGGGTTTTAGTGTCCCTTCTAATATTAGCAAATCAGATATTGACATGTGTAAGTTATGGTCAATTCTCTCACAACGGTTAAGGGATAATTTTGGAATTTCACTCGGAACATCCTTCATCTTGTGTGACGAAACTATCGTCTTCTTCGACGAATCTATTGTTTTCTCAGATGAAGTAAGTGACGCAACTGGTTTATTCCAAAAAATCCCTCATCTTCTCCGACGAATTCGTCATCCATCAGGAAATTATTATTCAAATAAGAAAGTTGGGGGCTGAACTGGATTGAGGGGCGAGGGAAGTCAGTGGTGTGTGAGGCTGTGATTAAGGAAGAAGTGGTGAAGAAAGTGTTGAAGAGTAGCGTCGAGGCTTTAGTGGAGCTTAACATGTTGAAAAACCTTGCTAGTTCCGCTGCTGCTGGTGCTCTTGATGGCTTCAACGCTCATGTTAGTAACATCGTTTCAGCTATTTACATAGTCACTGGATAGGATCCTGCTCAGAATGTCGAGAGTTCACACTGCATAACTATGATGGAACTTGTTGCCGTGAGGGAAAGGTGGAAGTGGAGTTTGTAGGTACTGTCCCAAGTGAAATTTCAAAATTGTCCCTCGACCAATTATGAAAGAGCTGACCATGACTCGGCTTGTTAAACACACGTGTCAACATTTAATTTGCTGATGTAGAAGAGGCATCAAAACCCTCTCAAATAAACTGGCACCTTAGCAATAGCCATATTTAAATACATAAATTTATCAAAATATAAAATAAAATTTCTATAAAGACAAATACATATCATAATTGAATGATTTGTTTATTTTCAATATTATCAAAATTCCTTCTCTATATATAAGTAACTAAAAGCAATATAATTTTAATTAATGTAATGTTTATAACATACAATGTTTCTTCTAAACATAAAAATAGTCTGAGTAAATAAAAATTAAAATACTGAATTTTTCATTAAAAATAAAAAAAATAGTTTAAATAAAGTAATATAAAAATAATAACTTTAAATATACTAACCTCAAAGATCACTTTAATGTATAGTTTAACTATTCAAGCAAAAAGGAGTAGAGATGGAAGAAGAAGTTTATTTTTTTTCTTCTCCAATTTTACTCTTCTACATTTTAAAATATTTTAGAAATAGAGAAAAATCTCAAAATGTGAAAAGAATTAAAAAAAATAAAAAAAAAATAAAAATATATATAAAATATCCAAAAAGAAATTAATATCAACTTATGGTTTTTTTATTTAAAATACATACATTATTAATTTATAATTTTTTTTATTTTGATTTACAATTTAAATTCATAAAAACTTTTTTTCCCTCTAAAAACATGTAATTTGTTGTTAATTTTTGTAACATATTAAAAAAAATTAAAAAAATCTTCCTTCTCACACAAAAATAACTGCATAAAGATTCAAATTCAATTTTAATTTTGTAATTTTTTTAGTTTTGTTTTTTCTGTTTTTAGATTTTAAATAAAAATAATATAATATTATATATATTATTATTAAAAAAACTGAAAAATTAGTGGGGGTTTAAAACTGAGATACTAGTTTTAACCTACTAATCGAACTAGTTCAATTGGAATTGGATAACACAATCAAATCGAACCTTGTGAACCAGTGAAAATCAGGCAGTTCCACATGTTAAAAAAAGACACCGTTCTTATATTTAAATTTATTTAAAATCCATTCCAACGTCATGTCCCCAATTGAAGGATACACTCACAATTTTTTTTTCTTCATATTTTTCCAAAATTTGAAATATTAAGAAAATGTATTAAAACAAAGCAAGAGATTGGACTCGATTCCATTTTTTTTTTGTTAAAATGAATCTTGACAAACCAATTCACCAAATTCATATGAGTGAAAAATGCTTGAGTTAACGCTTTTAATATTTCTCTTAACACCTACCTGGAAAAATGCCATTATTTATTATATATATTATTATTAAAGACAAAAAGGTATAATAGATGTTCAATTGGATCAATAATAATAATAATAATAATAATAATAATAATAATAATAATAATAAGTTATCTTTCTATCTTTTTATACATTTTTTTATTCATTAATCTTGTACAAGACTAAAATAATATATCTAAAAATCAATTTTAC